GTTGGTGGTTAGCAAACGGAAGGTCGTGGGTTTGAGTTCCGGCTCCGCCCGAGTTTTTGATCTCCTCTAGTTCCGACTCAAATTTTTCATTTTTTCTTCCAGTCTTTTGAATCTATTTATTGAATTTATTCTATTTAGATTTGATTTTTTCGAAACAAAGATAGATTAAAGTTATTCGGGCAACTCATTTAAGCAATTCACTTCGTCTTATTTTCTCTAATAGTGGACTCGATGAACCGAGTTGTTGATGATTTTACGGTTTTCAAGTTTTCCCAAAAGCTTAATACTCAAATCCCCCTACAAGACCTCATTGTCAGCTACATTTTCCGACCCCACATCAATAGGTTCTGATAAGCGCTTTTCGAGAGTTTCGAGCAATTTAGACAACGATCAGGGTGCACTACTATTAGAGAGAAGACGGTAATTAAGCCCAAAGCTTCTTAACCCAGCAAAAATATGAAAGTGTAATCAATATTTTATACAATACCGGAACATTTTTGAGTAGAGAGAGGTTTTTAATGGTTTAGAAGGTTACTGTAGCCTAGATCAAGTCAACTTTGTACAACATAATGAATAAAAATCATCTATAGAAGTTTCATCTTCATCTTCCTGTGTTATTTGATTATTTAAAATCCTGAAATCGATCTTTAAGCCACTTAGTCACTAGCAAATTCACTTATTAAAGCATTGACCAAATTGTGAAATTCGGACCAAAAATTCCGAACTTTTCAAGTCAAAAATTGAATTTTCACAAGCGATTCTCGGCTCAATTCAAATAAGGCATTCATATTAAGTAAAAGTTAAAACCTAATTATAAGCAATAAACCTATAAATCCTTTTCAATTCCTTTCATTTTACCCTCTTAATCTTAAAAGCCAATTTAAGGCTAATTTTTCGAAATCATTTCTTAAGCCTTTGTCTTTGCCAAATCTTGAGTTTCAAAAGCACATGGTACCCAAAAGAAAAACCCTGTAAAAACTGCAAAAGCAGAAAAATACAGAAAAAAAGTCCGCTTTTTCGGATAACATTTGTCCGATCGGGTTCATTTCCGACAGCTGTTCCTTTTTCTTTTTCTTTTTTTTTTCATTTCTTTTTCTTCTCACAATTTTTCTCCAACTTTTCCCACATGATAAAGTGATTTCACATAGGATTAGACAAGATCCAGATCTTTTCCATCGTAAAAGTTTGGTCTGTTTTAAAGAAAAAGAAATTATTTTAGTTGCTAAGCTAAGTTTAAAGCATAAAGCTTAAAACATAAAGCTTAAAACATAAAGCTTAAAACATAAAGCTTAAAGCATAAAGCTTAAAGCATAAAGCGTAAAGCATAAAGCTTAAAGCTTAAGCATTCTTTTGAATTTTAAGGTTCTTGATAAGTGTAAGATTTATTTTCTAAAAATGACTTTCCACTGAACTTTGAGCATTTCTTTCTTTTCACCTTTCACCTTTACCTCTCAAAGCTCAACAGCAAATGAAATAAGCAAAAAAAAATGAACCTTTTCCCCCATTTTCACTGCTCAATGAATTCTATTGTGTGACCCTTTCTTTCAATTCTATTTTTTCATTTTTCTTGTCGAGTGTTAGATGCGTTTTCCCCACTTCACTTGAGCTATTTCATTTGCTTTGTTTTTTTTCTAGCAAATGAAATATTTGTTAACAAAGCTATTTGTTAACAAGATTATTTGTTAACAAAGCTATTTATTAACAAAGCTATTTGTTAACAAAGCTATTTGCTAACAAAGCTATTTGTTATCAAAGCTATTTGCTATTTGTTAACAAAGCTAACAACAAAGCTAACAAAGCAAATGAAATATTCGTCAACAAAGCTATTTCATTTGCTTTGTTTCAATTTCTCAAGAAAAATTATGTCAAAATTTAATGTTTTAAATGATTTTCAGTATTTTCAACAATATTTTAGTGTTTCTGTGTCATCCAAAGATCAGTTATCAAATTGGTTTTGCTTTAAAGAAAGCTCAAGCTATCGTAAATCTGGCTAGCTTCATTCTATACAATAGTTGTGCTAGAAATCAAGTTCAAATCTGCAGTAAAGTGCAAATCTAACAATAGTCTGACTAACAATAGACAATAGTCTGATAAATCTGAAAATATCTATTACAAACTTTTATCACTTCTTTAACCGTATCAATTCTCGATTAATTCTCAAATCAAACACAAGAGGAGTTAAATGAATTGGCAATCTCGTAAAGAAGTCCAACAATTAGAAAAAAGATTGGGAGGAGAAAAGAATAGAAAAAATGGGGGGTAAATATTTACCCGCTCTTTTCACGGGGACACTAAAGGCTCCTCTCAACCCCGAAAAAACTCCTGCATCACCCAGTCAAAAATCCCCCTCACAACCCCCAACATCACCCCAGGTTTTACCCATCTCACTGTGCTAATTTGCTAATTTAATCCTCAACTTTTACTCTTTCTTTTCTTTACTTTAAATAAGCTAAACTATTTTTAAATCCCTTTACCTTTTTACCTTTTGCATCACTACGAATTTTAACTCTAAACTTGCTACAATTAAGTTTAAAATCTACAGTCGACTCTATATAACGAAATGAAATTTTGATCCCAACCGACGCTAAGCTAGATAACTCTATATAAAAAACGGTACTCTATACAACGAAAACATGTCACCCACAGTGTGATCAGATCAAGATTTTGCAAAAAAAAACAACTTCTAATTTTGATACTATCCAGCTAAACAGACTCACGAACAATCTACAGTCTTTATATAGGGTTCCTTTGTATAGAGAGTCTCTCTATAACGGAACCCTATATAAAGGAATGAAATTTTGATCCCAGCCGACGCTAAGCGATTTATAACGGCACTCTATATAACGAAAACATTTTTTGGCTTCTTCCATTCCTTTAGAGTCGATTGTACTTTAGTCGATTCTTTAGTCTGTTTCCTAAACTTTCCTTGTAGCCTTCTCTTTCACTCAATCAATTCCTGAATATCTTTTCTCTTTCTGTTCTCTCAATGAATTTCTATTAGCTATAGAGCAAATATCCCGCTTACCAGTTTCGACCTCTTCCATTGCTCATTAAAGTGATTGATTTTTAAGATTAATCTTACTCTAATCTTACTCTACCATTTTGATCAAATTTTGATAGCTAAAGGAAACGTAGCTTAAGGGTTCATATCTAAAAAATCTTAATGAAATTTCTCATTTTCTTTAGCATTTCATGTACCCAAATTTTCCGTACTTTGACCCATTTGGTCTGCGCATTTTTTTCTTATTTTTTCTCATTTTTGTCTCATTTTGGTCTCATTTTTAAGTGAGCACAATCGTGGCGAGTGTTTTAAAAAGTGAAGAAAGCAAAAAGGCAAAGAAAAAGAAGAATTTTGTGACTTGAGTGAAATGAGGTGAATGAACACAAAATAGAAAAAAAAAAATGAAAGAAAAGCAAGAAAACGGAGGTGTTTTGGTGCAAATTTCACGCTCTTAGAACCCAATTTTCAAGTACTTTCGCTAACAACTATCAGACTTTTGACATTATTTAAAAGAAAGCTTTTGAAAGTTTTGAAAATTTGAAATTGCCAATAACAGATTGGTTATTTTGTTTCATTGAACTTCGTGTACTTTGTGCACGAGAAATTTGGAGAGTTTTCCTTCTGGTGCATTCATTTCACGATTTTCTTATGATTTTCGCGAGAAAAATGACAAGAACAGTGTGCCAGAAAGGGTGTTTCCAGAAAGGGTGTTTTCTATTTTCAAAGTGAGCACAAAGTAAACGACAGAAAAATGCATTGAATTTCGTCTCTTTATGATGCCAATTCACCTTAATTCAGTGCACCAGAAGGAATGTGTTTCTAGCAAAAAGTACAAGAGATTTTTTTTGTAACAGAAAACTCACTTTACTGAGAACTGATAGCTCATTACCATTTTTAACTTTGTAAACAGAAAAAAAAAGCCTATCTGAAATGTTTTTATACTCGAAAATCTCTAATAACTTTTTATAATCATTTTTTTTTTTTGCGAATTTTTCATACAAATCCAGTTTCACTTATCAATTTATGCAAATTTATTCATTTTTTTGACGAGAGAAAGAAGCGCTTTTGATCTATCAAAAATTGAGTGTCAAAAAAATCACAGACAAGTCGACTCTTTTTCGACTTTTATTCTCATTTTCCTTCAAGTTCACGAAAAAAAAAACTCGCCAAAATTGATTCGCTAAGTCTTTTTCTGAAGTTGAGGTGAGGATTTAGCTCTTTTTTGTCAAAGGAAAGTGTTTGCGCGTTTGTCGTTTATCGTTTGTCATTTGTCGTTTGTCGTTTATCGTTTGTCGTTTGTCGTTTGTCGTTTGTCGTTTGTCGTTTGTCGTTTGTCGTTTGTCGTTTGTCGTTTGTCGTTTGTCGTTTGTCGTTTGTCGTTTGTCGTTTATCGTTTGTCGTTTGTCGTTTGTCGTTTGTCGTTTGTCGTTTGTCGTTTATCGTTTATCGTTTGTCGTTTATCGTTTGTCGTTTGTCGTTTATCGTTTGTCGTTTGTCGTTTGTCGTTTGTCGTTTATCGTTTGTCGTTTGTCGTTTATCGTTTGTCGTTTGTCGTTTGTCGTTTATCGTTTATCGTTTGTCGTTTATCGTTTGTCGTTTGTCGTTTGTCGTTTGTCGTTTGTCGTTTGTCGTTTGTCGTTTGTCGTTTATCGTTTGTCGTTTGTCGTTTATCGTCCTTTGTCGACTAACCGGCTATCGTAACACGTCAAGTAGTCAAATAAAAAACAAAAACAAGAGATAATCAATAGAATCTTTTCTCTTTTCTTTTCAATAGAATCATTAAAATCTTCTTTAAACTTAAAGCTATTCAATCGCTCATTCAATCCAATTCAAGCTATTCAATTCAATCGATTCCAATTTAGCGCTTTTCTTTAACCTTCTTTTAGATCCATTTCTTAGATCACATTTCTTGAATTCCTTGTTTTGATATTATCTATTAATATCATCAAAATACCATAGCTTTATTAAAGCTAAAATATAATCTTTTTTTCATTTCTAGGGAGATCCCTATCGCTCGTGCATTCACCCGCTCTCTTTCCTACCGTTCACTTCCGCCAGCAATGGTGATGCGACGGAAATCCGTACATTATGGAGATTTGGACTTGGATCGAATCATCAGGACACTGACACAGGTGAGCAAGCTGCAAGCTGCAATTTGCTGATAAAATGAGAAAGACCGTCATTCTTTCAATTCTTTCTGTCCTAAGCATTCAAATCTAAATGCTTTGAGTGACATTTTAAAAAACAGAAATAATTTGGTACAAAAATCGAACTCTTTAGCCCTAAATGAAAAAAAAACTAATTGAATTGATTTTTTGAAATACAGCTTCTCTAAAAAAAATTTTGGCCAAAAATAGAGATTATAGAGCGTATTGCTCATTTATTCTAGAGCTTTACCTTATTAAAAATCGTCTTTATAATGCAAAAAGTAAGCTAAATTTAAGCTAGAAAATAATAATTTCTCAAAAAAAACTCAAAAATTTTAAGCGAAAGCTGCACTCATTTGTTTTTTACGAGTAATTTCTTGGAGTCAACGCTTGTAAATGATAGAATTGCTCTTGAATTCAAAAGGTTCTTGAATTCAAAATGTTCTTAAATTGGTGGATTCGTGTTTGAAGAAATTGCAGTCAAACTTTTTCCGAGAACTTCCTTTTCAACCTAATAGGTTTATCTCATAGATAACAGGTCAAAAAGCTCATCAAATTACTTATTGACAAATTACTTATTGACCAAAAACCCAAAAACATTTTCCTTTGTTTTCATCAGCTCTCTGAAAATAATGGAAAGTTGAGTGAAATAGCAGTTTTTTCTTTTTTCGATTCCAACTGTTGTTTACCACATGATGAAGAGCTCAAGCAGAGAAAAAACGCTTCCTGCCTGGAAAAAAACCACAACAAACCACCAAAATAGCTTATATATTCAGATTCAAGCTTTCAAAACCTTAAAATCTTAAGTCCTTAACCTTAAGAGCTCATCCAGAGAAAAAACGCTTCCTGCCTGGAAAAAGCCACAACAAAGCCACCAAAACAGCTTATATATTCAGATTCAAGTTTTCAAAACCTTAAAATCAAAAAGCTTTAAAGAAAAACGATATTCTATGGGTCTATTTTTGATTTGAGTGGGTGGTGAAAGTAAAATTGAAAGAAAAAGAAGCAAAAAAGACAAAAAGAAAAGAAGACCTCAAGAATTTTACTCTTTTTTTTCACTTACACTCAATGATTTTCACGGGTTGCGTTGGGTTTTTCGTCTTTTTCTCTTTTCTCTTTTCAATCGGTAATATTTGTGAAGTTCTTGACGTTTATTTGTGCAATGTTCGACCAATAGGAGAAAAAAAAGATTGCGGAGAAGAAGCTCGAGAGGAAAAAAAAAAGGATCGTTTCGACGATTTGCGTCATTTTTTAAAATGCTGATGTGAGAAATGAATATTGAGAGGAATAAAGTAAAAGCTTTGAATTGCGGGTTAGAAAAGGATTAAATGGTTTATCAAATTCCAGTATTAATCTCCAAGATTGCACGGTTTTGAGCTGAAAATTCGATTCAATCAAGACAATCAGCTCGTTAAACTTTAGTTTGACTTGATCTCATAGTTTTCATACAAAACCGTTAATTAACTTTGCTTAGCTGAATATCTTTAACGGTCTTTTGCTGGTTGTTTTAGAGCGAGGAATTGTTACCGTGTTGTCTCGACGAAAATTACGGTAGAATTAATTCTGATGTATAAAATCTTTGTCACATTGCATTTTAGACTCCGAAACGCATTTTTTGACAGTTTTTCATAGTTTTTCCGGGATTTTTAGTGTTTTTAAGGGTTTCGTTTATGCAATCCTTGTAGAGGAGACTGAAACGCGTCGATTGGTATGCAAATAGTCGTGCTTCTAGGAAATCACTTTTAAGGCCCGGAATACCCCTTTAACGTAACAGTACTTTACAGTAAAGCTTAGCAGTAACAGTACTTTACAGTAAACACTTGTTTACTGTACATTTTAAACCTCAATAAATTCGAGTAAGAAAAAGTACAGTATTTTTTTTTTGTTGCAAAAGTCGATTGGTATACAAAATAGTCGTGGTTCTAGGAAATCACTTTTGGGGCCGGGACACCCCTTTAACAGTAACAATACATTACAGTAAAGCTTAACAGTAACAGTAGTTACAGTACAGTAGCAGTGTCTATTCACTGTATTTATGCAATCCTTGTAGAGAAGATTAAAACACGTCGATTGGTATACAAAATAGTCGTGGTTCTAGGAAATTTTGTGGCCGGAATACCCCTTTAAAAAAAAGTCGGCAAAATAGGGTGGAACCATCGAAAATTTGTCTAATTTTGTCAAGGTCAACAAGTAAAATTAGAGGGACGCGTTTGGCGCCGAAAATTTTGAAACAGGAATTGAATTTGGAGAAGGGTAAAAATAAGAAAAGATATTTGAATTTGAATACAAATATTACTTAAAATAGATTTGAAATAAAATAATAAAATAATAGATTTGAAATTCAGGTAAAACCCTGGCAAAAATCGTTGGACGTTTCCGAGTCGGACATTCGAATGGTTTGCGTGTTGGCGAGACAAATTTTTCTGCATCAACCGATGCTTTTAGAGTTGGAGCCACCGCTAAAAATTGCTGGTGAGTGCGCAAATCATGGTGGTTATTAAATTTCAAATCTTTCACAGGTGACATTCACGGTCAATTCGCGGACCTCTTGCGTCTTTTCCATTTGTCCGGTTTCCCGCCCGAGTCCAACTATTTATTTCTCGGCGATTACGTGGATCGAGGACCGAAAAGTATTGAGGTAATCGATTGATAAAATCTTTCGATCTTTCAATCTTTCAATTTTTCAATTTCTTTTTCAGACGATCGTTCTTTTATTGTGCTATAAAATTAAATATCCAAATAATTTCTTCTTATTGCGTGGGAATCACGAGGTGGCAAATCTGAATCGAATATACGGATTTTACGATGAATGTGAGCCAATTTTCTGACTGATAAATCATTAAATAAAGAAGCAATTTCGAAATTTCGTTATAAAGCTCATTTTCAGGTAAACGACGCTACAGTGTAAAGTTGTGGAAAACTTTTCAAGACGTTTTCAATTGTATGCCCGTTGCGGCGCTTATCGATAATAAAGTGAGGCTTTATTTAGAAAAAAAAGGCTTCTGAAAAAGGAATCATTTAAAGAGATTTGACTAATAAGAATCGAGGAAAACATTAAAATTTTCAGATTTTCTGTTGTCACGGTGGTTTGAGCCCAAATTTGCGGAGCTTGGACCAGTTGAAGCGGGTCACTCGACCATGCGATATTCAGGAGACTGGTCAGCTATAAGAAAAGAAAAGCAAAAGAAAAGAAAAACAAAAGCTATAGAATTTTATAGAAAAGCTATAGAATATAGAAAAGAGAAGCTCTAGAATAGAAATAGAAAAGAAAATAGAAATGCTGTAGAATATCCTATTTTCTACAGCTGTAGAATTCCAGGCCTTCTCTGTGACATTTTATGGTCGGATCCGGACAATTCGGTGGTCGGATGGGCGCCGAATGAGCGAGGCGTCTCTTATGTGTTCGGCGCGGATGTGTTAAGCCAATTTTTGCAGAAAATGGATTTGGACATTGTCGTGCGGGGGCATCAGGCAAGTGAAAAACTATAGGAAACGCCTTCATAACAGAAATCCAATCAAAAAATCCGAATTGATCACCACAGTGTTGATCCAAATAAATTCAAGACTTGAAAACGAAAAGCTCATCTTCTTAATCAAATTGAAAATCCTTTTTTTTCAGGTAGTCGAGGACGGTTATGAGTTCTTCGGTCGTCGCGGTTTGGTCACAATATTCTCGGCTCCGAACTATTGTGGAGAGTTCGACAATGCGGGTGCTGTGATGAATGTTGACGAGAATTTGCTTTGCTCATTCCAGGTAGATCAGATTTCAATTTAAATGAATAAAAGAGCTAATTAGTAAGCGAAAGAAAGAAAAAGATCAATGGTAAATCTCTAGGAAATCTCTATCAAATGTCTAGCAAGTCCCATCAATCCTCGTTCGCTCGCTGAGACTCTTTTCGTAATAAGGGACTGAAAAGACTCAAGATCTTTGTTTTTTTAAGTAAAAAAATGAAAGATTCTTTCAAAATCGCATTCCAGTTAGCTTTTCACTCTTTAACAAGAAAGAAAAAGTTCAAAGATCGTTTTTCGCTTGAGCATTTTCGTTTCCTAACTTAATTAAACGTTTTGCAAAAAAGTTACCGTAATCTATTTTACAAATAACAAATCTGTCTGTTCAGCTCAACCATAGTTGTTAAATTTTGACTGTTAACTGTCGGATAGAGTAGCTTTTTCAGATGGCATACTTTAAAAAGAAACTCTAATCGAAAAGGAAATTTTTACTTGAAAATACCAGATACAACTGGCTTTAAGAAGTAAGCTAAATCATTAAACAATCTCAATTTTTAGATTCTCAAGCCAATGGAATACCCTCTGCAAAAGACCTCAGCAATGGGCGGTCTTGTCAATCTCGTCAACATTAAATTGGCGTCAGAGAATGGAACGAAAACGCCGAAACGATTCCGACGAGGCATCTTATAGAAAGCAAAGTGTAGACAACACCGTATTCTCGATTCGCATTAACTTCTACAGTACCCTTGGTCGTATGAAAATTGTTTTAAAATAAGAACTCTTCTCTTTCTCATTCACATATCGTTTCTTGATCTTGAGTTTTGGCTAGCCCTTCCCCGTTAGCTCAGCAAGTAGAGCGTTCGATTTCCAATTTTACATCGCGGTTTCGATTCCCTTTGGTGCCAAATCCAAATCCGTCTTTTTATCGAGGTTTGAAAGCTTAAGAACCTAATCCTAACTTCAAAGTATAGTCTTTTCTCAGGTTTTGTTCTCCTTCTATATCTCATTTTCCTTTTCCCAGTTATCAGCCGTATCAAATCCAATATTTTCTTAAAAATTGACGTGCCAAAGATTTTTCGACTTTTTCGTTGATATCCGGTACCAGAATGGGCCCAAATTTGTGTTCTTTGCGACTTTTCTATTGTTTTTTGCTGAAAACTTGTACAAATTTGTATTATTTTTGTCATTCGTACGATATTCAGTGTGTAAATACGGGATTTTTTTCCAAAATCAAGTGAGTGGTCAAAAATAAAGTTTTAACTTATGAAAATCGGGACTACATGAAAGAATTATTAAGAAAACGAAATGCCAAAAGAATTACACGCAAAAGAAACGAACAAAATCGACGGAACTTGCAAAAATTTGGCGTAGAAGAAAACGAAAAATTCTCCATCCCAATACATTCATTTCCTTTTTTCGTCGTGATCGATAACTTCAAGTTTCGCTTCGGAACGGACGAGTAATTATCCCTGAAAAACAATATTAGAAATCACAGTACTCGATAATAAGTGCATTACAATAAGTCTACAAAAGAACTTTAAAAACCAGAACCTTGAACAGCCCACTCCGTCCACTCAACTTCTTTCCAAATTGGCGGCACAAACATGTTCAACAACCACCAACTGCCGAAACAGAAACGCATTCGATCGACTAAACACGAAAATGATTAGCAACAAATTTTAGGAAAGAGCGTACACCTTTAGCATAACAACCCAATCACTCACGAATGTTATCCCCTTCTCCATCCATGACTTTTCCCATCAAGATCCACTCCAATATACCACCGAACATCGGGAAAATCATGGCCATCACCTAAACAAAATCCTTAGCAGGTTTTACAAAAAGCAGGACTTTTACTTACCATATAGGCAAGCCAGACGCCAGCTCCAGCGAATCCAACGAGAAATATGAGTGGAAACTAAAATATTTCCCTTTAATAAAACGGAAATGATATTTTATCACCGCGTCAAGTTCCTCCGTCCAAGCTTCTGGGCTAAATTCAAGCGTTACAATCGTGCGAATCGCGGCGCTCGCGTCTCTGATGATGAAGTAAAAGGAAAGCGGAATCCCGTACAACAATGAACACCTAAAGTGTACAAATTTTATTAAAATTGTTCAAAACATACTCTCCGAGCACGGGTTCAGCTTGCACAATGATGTTAAAACATGTGAAGAGTCAGAAGAAAACCGCGAGAAACAACCAAAAGACAGCTGCGTAGAAGAAGCGCTAAAGAAAACAAATTCACCAATAAAATTAATTATAACAAACCATGGTGGCGATGCCGACACAAGAGCCGAAAAAGGCACAGTGATGATCAGACCGGAGAACGCAAGCATTACAAATTGGACAATGGAGGCTCCGAGCAGGAGTGTAACCAAAAAAAAACAAATTTTATCAAGAAAATCTTAAGTTCTTGTACAAATGTTAGGGGAAGGCAATCAAATCAGCAAGTTAAATCGATTCAACTCATCGGTATCCGTAAAGTAACAAAATCCAAACGCACCGATCGCAAATAAGGCATCGCTTATTTGCGTACAAGTGTTCACCGCTGTGCATAATCTTCTAAAAAGTAGAGCTATGACAAATCAATGCTGAATAACTGACTTGTACAGCAAGCTTTCGAAGTTTCACTTCAGAGATGTCGAGCCGATTCAATTGATACTCGATGTGATCCTTGCTAAAACAGATGATCCATTGCACTAAAATATTTGATCACTTACTAGTTCAAAGCGCGAAAAGCGATCAAATTGATTGTCACTTGCAACTCGACAAAACGAACGCACCATTTGAGGTAAAAACTAAAACAGCTTCCTAAAAATAGGAATTTCAAAGCCAACCTCATGGCATAACTGTAGAAATTATTGTAGAGAATGAGGTTATTGATGAAAATGAGCTCTCCGAAGACAAAAACTAAACACGAATGGTTGAGGAGAAAACGATAAGAAAAAAACCTCCGAAAATGACGAGACCCGGAAGAAAAATGGAGAGAAAATGGAAAATGTTGTAGCGATGACCAAATTGAACGGATGGCCATTTGCTCATCGTCACCATCACCGAGTCGCCATTATCGTTGAGAGCTGAAAAAAACAAATATTTACTGTTTAATTTCCGTTTAAACTCTTCTTATTTTCGATTATCTCATCAAACATACAAACTTCCTTTATAATGTGACTAAGCTAAAACAGATAATTCATTGCACTAAGATATTTGATCTCACTGGTTCAAAGCGTGAAAAGCGAAAAGCGAAAGTCTAGTAACAGCAAAGTTTGAGTAGTACATAAAAATTAGAAAATGTGAGCCAAAAACCTCTAAAGATCTACTTCTAAATGTTTTGTTTTTGTTCAGTTCTCCATTTTGGTATTTTATGAAATGTGTCAACTTCAATATTTGAGATTACTAATAAAAAGAACAAAAGTCAAAAACCAACCGTTCACATTGGAAGACATCGCGGGAAATGTTTCATTTTTCTTCCGGAAATGCTTTTGTGTTTGCAAAAAATGCAAATTAGTTAATGTCGGTGTTTCGGTTTCGTAATCTGTTTCATTGCGTAGTTTAAGTGGAAAGATGTAAATTGTCTGTGCAATTTCAACGCCAAGATAGTTTTTAAACTTGTTTTGTGCAGAAGAAAAGTTTTTATTGTTTTTGTTTTCGAACGTTTATCCCAATCATACAGTGATGTTGGCATTTTTCGTGAAATCATCAAATTCTTTCCTAAAATTGACAATATTTACAGCTTAAAATAGCTTTAATTATTGAGTTAAACTTGAATAATCTTTAGCTAGCCAAGATATTGGAGAAGTTGTAGTACTCACCGATAAACCTCATCTAGCGGATCGGGTTTAGTGAAGATCGGCTCGTTCGGTGAAGCCTAAAAGTGTCCAGGTATTCCGTTAATTTTGTTTGTTTTTAATTGCTCAGAAATTAGCTTGGTTTATTGTTGAATAAACGATGGATTTTATGGGCAGAAATTTTCAAAACTCTAACAAACCGCTGTCACTTTATTCGCGGTGTACTTTAGAGCAACTTTTGTCATCGCATTTCCATCAAATTTCCCACGGAACTGAAAGAAAAGTAAGGATTTTAAAATGTCACATAAAAACTTACTGATATATGATAAGGCTTTGGTTTTATTTGCATTGTATAGGCTATTGTCTAAAATATTTTATGAAAATGGAAAGAGCAAAAATGTTGACCGAATGTTTTCCAATATCCCAAGACCAGACGTTCGTCTTGGCTACATATCTAGACTTTTTACCGTAAGCATTTGCATTGAATGAATTAATAAGCATTTGCATTGAATTAAAAGCAATTCAAATCAACTTTAATCTGTATTTTTGTGAAATTGAAAACATAAACCTTAAACGGAAACAAGCGCTTTTCTTCTCACGAAGTCCTTCCATAAAAACAACATCAAACGGGGTTTCGCAGCCCTAAATTAACCATTGTTCTTTATTGAATTGTTTTTGAATTGTTATTGAATTTAAAAGGTACAGTACTTGACAATGAAATATCATATTTGAAAAAAGATCGTCACTTTCGCGCGTCCTAACTCCCTTGTCTTTACCGTATTTCTAAATATTAATATTACCATTGTGTAGCCCTTGAAAAGAGCTTTCAGAAAATGTATAACACTAATAGTTTAAACTCAAAGACAAGGGAGTTACAGACGCGCGAAAGTGACGATCGCTTTTCAAATATGATATTTCATTGTCCAGTACTGTACATTTGCGAAAAATACTCTAATCTTCTATTAACTTTAGTTCAACAAAAACTGTAATCCGGCCTGGAACAGAATTTTTGAGCTAAACTCTTGAGTTCTTTAAGTACAACTTTTAGAAAACCCTTTTGTTTTCAAGGAAACAATTGAAAAAAACCACAAACATTTGATTTCTCGTAGAAATGAATCTTCCCATATTGACCCTGATCCAGAGGAAACTCAAAAACAAACGATAAATTCTTGTCAACCGGTGTATTGAAGGGTAAACGACTCAAGCTAATCGTGAAACTAAAGTTTGAAATAAATCCTCTCAACTTTTGCTTAAACTTTTCATTTTTCAATGGCACAATATCCCATACGCAAATCGACATATCAAAATTCCTTTCGAAAGTCACCGTTTCTCCAAGCCATTTTGCAGGCACAAAGTCAGGCAGTGAATCTAGAATTTTTCTTAAATAAAGAAATAAATAAAAATAAATGAAATAAAGAGATTTCAATGTAAGTTTTTACATTTGAAATCTCGATTTGATTCTTCGAAGATTTTCACGACATTTTCGACTGGCAGATTTGGTGCCATTTCACCTTGAGTCACCAATTCAGTTCGCGTATCCTAAACAATTATTGGAAAAGTTAAATAAAGCTAAAGTTAAGCATTGCTTTCGTCAAAACGTTTACTAGGTTCTGTTTTTTCAAATTTATTTCCCTCACCTTCGATTCATTCACAAAAGCCGCAACGAACGCATCGTTGACCTAAAAGACAATGTCAGTGTCTTCAATGTCATTGACAAAAAAGACAATGTCATTGACAATGTCTTCAAGTCTTCAAGAGAATCAATTCTTTCACCAAAACTTTCGTCACACATTTGATTTCATCGTTTTGCACTTGATTGGTGGAATTGTAAAAAGACGAAGGATTTTGAGTGAAGTTGATTTTCAACACATAACACTCGGCCCGATCAATTGACAAAATTGGAGGTTGAGGATCAGTCTGGCTCCAAATGTTCTAGATTTTGCAATACAACTTTTCTAGTTCTTTAATCAAAAATCCCACAAACTTTGAGCAAACTTCCAGTTGCCAGTAGCTTATCCTCGACTTGATATTGTCGTTGAATTCGAATATTATTTACATTATTCTTTGAATCATTTAAGTAAAAGAAAACATTAACACTAAAAAGTATTATTTTAGATTGTAAAAATCTAACTCACATTGGTTTCAATGAGAAGATGATTAGTTGAACATTAATTTCATTTCCAGTAAGTGATATGAACGGTTCAGGGAAGGTTTCCACAGCTAAATGGGAGTAAAACGGGGATAGAGAGTTTTTCAGTTGCAGATAGAAAGCTATGTATGCAGTTTTTCAAAGCCGTTTACCCGGTATCTCGGTTGTGTGATTGTTAACAGTTTTCGATGGTTTATCGGGCCTGGCTAAATAATATTAAAATAATTTTTACATTCCTCAGAGCTTACTAGTAGTTGTGGCTTGTTTAGAAGTTGGTAAAGTTGATGATGTAACAGTAGATGTTGTCGTAGTTGACGATGTAGAGGTTGGGGTTGAGGTTGTTGTTGACGATGGAGAAGTAGATGTTGTCGTAGTTGATGATGTAAAGGTTGGGGTTGGGGTTGAGGTTGTTGTTGATGATGGAGAAGTAGATGTTATCGTAGTTGATGATGTAAAGGTTGGGGTTGGGGTTGAGGTTGTTGTTGATGATGTAGCAGTAGATGTTGTCGTAGTTGACGATGTAGATGTTGAGGTTGAGGTTGTTGTTGATGATGGAGAAGTAGATGTTGTCGTAGTTGATGATGTAAAGGTTGGGGTTGTTGTTGATGCTGTAGCAGTAGGTGTTGTCGTAGTTGCCGATGTAGAGGTTGGGGTTGAGGTTGTTGTTGATGATGGAGAAGTTGTCATCGTTGTGGTTGTGATCTCATTCTCGTTTTCTTCTTCAAAAATTGTTGGAGGTAAAGTTGTTGAAGTTGTCGTTGTGTATGAAGTGGAGGTTGTTGCTGTCGTTGTGATTTTGGTTCTAGTCGTTGATTTTTCTTCTTTAGAAGTTGTTGTTCTTATCGATAAAGTAGAAGATTTTTGACTTGATTCGGCTAAAAATTTAGAAATAATCTAATCTAAATAGTCTAAATAATAAAGAAATCGTCTTACTCAGAATTTCAGAAATATCAGAAATATCAGAAAATATTCAGTTCTTTTAAAATCTTATTTACTTGGTTCAAGAGTGGAGGACTGATTTTCTTGCGGGGTGTTGGACTCTTCGTAAGCTGTTTCCACAACTAAACCAGCAAATTGGGATTTCGAGTTTCATTTCTTTTTCATTTCTTTTTCATTTCATTCAGTTTCTAATTATAGTTTTTAATTGTATAAAGTGTAATTAGTAATGATTCAGTTTCTAATTATATAAAGTGCCCACCGGAACTCGTATTTTCCCATTTATCTGAAGTGAATGGTTGTTCAATCGATATGTCGTTTTTCTCTTTTTCAGAGACGATTGTTTTGTGGTTGTTTCTTTCAGCTGCAATGTTTGCAAGTTTTTAAGGCAAAATTTTCTTTTTTCTTAAACCAAATGTATAACTAAATCACTAGATGCTTGAAGTCACATTGAGACTCATCAAGTCTGAAAACGAGACTCATGAAGTCTGAAAACGAGACTCATGCAGTCTGAAGATGCGACTCATGAAGTCTCATCTTCTCATTCATTCATTAACTCGTGGACTCATTTTGAGCTTTAAAAAAGTACAAAATTACACAAGAATTTAGAATTTCAATAACCTTATGAGCAATAACCTTATCAAGTTCAAAAAAATGAGGTAACTAGTCAGGTTAATGGAGTGAAAACTTTTATTGATATTTATCTTTGTTCTTAAATCACTTACGCGTGATCTGCGTCGATAAAATCTTTTCACCAGTCAAGATCAGCACCGGATCTTGATTGATTGGTGGTTGATGGCGGATTTCTAGATGTAAAATTTTGAATAACTAATAGTGGCAAAGCTTTTCCGAATGTACTTTGTATTTGCAAGTTTTCATAAATCATACAAATCGAATTAATCAAATTAATCGATCAATCATCTTATCAGTGAAATGATTTTGCTCATTTTTCTTGTGGCTTTTATTGGGATTATGAAGTAAACAAAGAATTCATTTGGTTAGCTAAGTACTAAGGTTAGCTAAGTACTAAGGTTAGCTAAGTACTAAGGTTAGCTAAGTACTAAGGTTAGCTAAGTACTAAGGTTAGCTAAGACTTAAGCCAAATAATATAATCAAAAAATGTCATTGTCTTTTTATTCAATGTACTAAAACTAAAACTTACGGGAATCTGCGTTTGTTTCATCTTTTATTTTCCCGACAATTTCCCTCACAACAAATAGAATTACAATAAAAGTTAGTAGCTTCATTTTGATAAAGGGAAATGATATCCTTAAAAGTTTGTCAGTTTTTGGAGAATTTTGGAGAGAATTCTTAATAACGATTTTCGATTTGATTTCAAGAAAACGGGATAGAATCACTTATTGAAATTGGCTCTAAAAAAGGAGAGCTTTTTTTGATAATATTAATGAATTCTTTTAGAAATAAAGGATTAAATAATAAACTTTTCTTGAAAAAGTTTTTCTAAAATTCTAGTTTATTTAAATGAAATAATTTTAAAAATAAAGTATCTTGCAGAATTTTCAAACAAAAGTTTACCATTGAAAAGAGTTTATTTCCGTTTCTTTTTTTTCTGGAGTCTCAAAGTCGACATGGATTGCCTGTAAATTGTAATAGGTAGGCTATATTAAGTTTAATTAGTTAGTGAAGCGATTAATATGTAAATTAAACGATTAATATGTAAATTAAACGATTAATATGTAAATTAAACGATTAATATCTGTAGATGATCATGATCTTGAAGCTCTAGAGAATTCTTGACGTTATCTATGCTACCCATTACAAACATTTTATCATTTTGCTTTTTATCGGTCCTTTTCGGTGATTTCAAGAAAACGGGATAGAATCACTTATTGAAATTGGCTCTAAAAAAAAGAGAACTTTTTTTTGATAATATTAATGAATTTTTTTTGGAAATAAACGATTAAATAATAAACTTTTCTTGAAAAAGTTCTAGTTTATTTATATATATATATTCATACTTTATTCAGGACATGAAATAAAGCGTAATCAGTCAGACAATACACAAATCTACACAAAATACAGAGAAAGATGGACATTTTACTCGGCGATGGGAGGCGGGGAGAAAAGAAGATAGATAGAAGATAGGCTTCTTGCTTTAATAACCTCAGGCCATGAATGGGCCAACCCAGTGGAAGAGTGAACTCCGCTAGAGAAGGGATCTCTAGTCAGCTCTAGAGAAGAGACCTCTAGTCTGGGCGCAATAAACTTTTCTTGAAAAAGTTCTAGTTTATTTAAATGAAATAATTTAAAAAATAAATTATCAATGTTTAAAAAACGATTTTCGATCTAAACGCAACGCAAAGCATTCAAATATTTCGATTATTTAGCTAAAATTATTTAGCTTTCCCGTTAGAGCCGCTAGATTATGGAACTTGCTCCCAAACGACATACGAGAAATTCAGTCGCTTTTCATATTCAAGAAACGTATCGATGCTTTAGATCTAGTGGCTCTTTGCCGTAAGTAATTGGCTTATTGATTTCAGTATGTATTGTATGATTAAGTATCACTGTGCATTTCTCTATGATTTCTTTCACTTTATCGTTTGAATAAAGTATTATTATTAAAAGATCAGCTTCTTTGAGTTTCTTTCAGAGAAATCTGACCCCATTTTACCGCGAAAATGCCCAAAGTGGAGCTGGCGCAATTTTTCTCTTTTGATATTCGCCGATCTGGGTGAAAGGTTTAGCTAAAAGATTAGCTCACAGAATTTGAGTTCTTTGAGAGAAATCTGATCCATTTGAGTAGACAGATCATCTTGAATACTTGAGAGTCCTTATCGATGAGAGAAAGAGAGCTGTTGAGAAAAAAAAGACTTTAGTTGCTTAGGTAGATAAAGTTGTAGACAAAACTGCAAATTTGTCATTTGTTACTGAATATTTCAATTCGTCAATGCGCTAAACAACGCTGGAAAACGCTGGACAACGCTGGACAACGCTAGACAACGCTAGACAACGAACAACGTTTCATTGCTTAAGGAATTGATGGTTCTTTTGTGAATGCTAAAATTTGTATATAGTAAAGTGCAAAACGCAAGATACAGTTTGTGAAGAAAGATCTAGAGATTTGTGCGAAATTTATTCAATGCCCTGATACAGAAACCTATTCAATGCAGCCGAAATCTCATTTCTTATCTCGTTTCTTAATGAGCCAACTTCTTTTAACGATATCAAACTTTCTTTCAAAAGCCACAATCCATTGAAGGTAGATATTTCCTCAAGTGTTCATTAAAAGACGAGAACTCAAAACAAATCCCTCACATTCGATCTTTTATTTGTTGAAATCGAATCCCCTTCCGGTCTTTACCATTCAATTCACATCAATGGCGGTTTCCTTTAATGGCCACACCTGTAAAGATCTTTTCCCACAGAAAGATATCCTTTGAATGTCCTCACAGTGTGTGTCCTCTTCTCCATCCACTACCATATTTGTACAGGAGTCTCCCCATCGTATTGGTTCTGCCGATGTTTGTGGATTAGGTGCGACCTCCACTCTCTCTCTCTCTCTCTCTTTTTCATTGTCAATCAACATTTCCCTAATGAATCTCGAGTAACTTTTTCCTTCACAAAGAATTAATTTAATACCGTATTTTCTTGAATAGTAGTGCACCCTAAGCTTCGCCTAAATTGCTCGAAATCTCGAAAAGCGCTTATCAGAACCTATCGATGTGGGGTCGTAAAATGTAGCTGATGATGAGAGCTTGTAGGGGATTTGAGTGTTGTGCTTCTGCAAAAGCATTGAATCCGTAAAATCGTCATAAACTCGGCTCAGCGGGAAATATTAGGGAAATAGATCAGTTTGATCTACTAGCCTAACCTGGAATAATATACCGTCTCCTCTCTAATAGTAGTGCACCCTGAGCGTCACCTAAATTGCTCGAAATCTCGAGAACCGCTTATCAGAACCTATCGATGTGAACTTATCGGAAAATGTAGCTAACGATGAGATCTAGTGGGGGATTAGAGTGTGGAGCTTCTGCGAAAACTTGGAAACCGTAAAATAGTCACCAACTCGGCTCATCGAGTGCACGATTAGAGAAAATACGGTATTTACTTCTTTTAACAGAAATGCGGGAGTAAAATGGAGACTGTATTTAACGGAATTTCTCGTTTAGGACAAAAAGGAAAACGTTTAGAGGAAAAATGTTTGTTTTTAAAGACTCATTTTTGGCTGCTAATGTTAAACTTTAATTCTAAATATCAGATAACACATGTTTCTACTCAAATTCTTGCACAGTTCGATGATCGATCTGTAAAGATTAAGAGAAAAAGGAAAAACTCAAACTTTCAAATTTCTCTAAACCTTTTTTTCTCAAAACCGGATTGATCGACTGTCAGAGCTGTCAGAATCGATCAATAGACAAATTCGTTTAAAATTGAGAAAGATTGAGGAAATGGGGGAGAAAAATAGAGACAGTATTTAACGGGATTTCTCTCGAATTTCCCTTATTGTTGTTCAAGTTATGTGTAGCTTGTCTAATCTCTTTTTCAAATCTTTGCAAAAATGGGAAAAAATTTTCTGTTTTCCTGTTGAGTGTCGACTATTTATCATTTCGAAGAGTTTTCCACGATCCACCTGATTTATTTGCACATTTCTTTTTTGTTAACTCATAAATTTCACAAGAAAATATAAGGTAAAGATGCAGGATTTTGTCCAAAATTGAGAAATTTTCGATTAGAGAAAATGATAAGCTTGATATGAAAGGAAATAGATTTCATTTAAACTTTAGAAAGCTTTAGAGAGCTTTAGAAAGCTTTAGAAAGCTTTAGAGAGCTTTAGAGAGCTTTACAAAGCTTTAGAGAGCTTTACAAAGCTTTAGAGAGCTTTACAAAGCTTTAGAGAGCTTTACAAAGCTTTAGAGAGCTTTAGAGAGCTTTACAAAGCTTTAGAAAGCTTTAGAAAGCTTTAGAGAGCTTTACAAAGCTTTAGAGAGCTTTACAAAGCTTTAGAGAGCTTTACAAAGCTTTAGAGAGCTTTACAAAGCTTTAGAGAGCTTTACAAAGCTTTAGAGAGCTTTACAAAGCTTTAGAGAGCTTTACAAAGCTTTAGAGAGCTTTACAAAGCTTTAATCAAAAGGTTATGTTGTTTTTTTTAAATAACTGAATAATTTTGAATATCGTAATCTTTTTAAATTTCAAATCAATTCACAATTTGTTTGAGGCAAACAAACAAAAAGAAATTTATGTTAGCTTTTCAAATTATCCACCTATTGATTCAATGTTAGTCTTTTTACTTTAGCATATTGTAAGACAGAAAACTGTAG